CCTTTTTGTGGTCTTGCTGGGCCGCAGCAACAATCTCGGGCTGACTGGAGGACGCCCTTGTTGTGGTCTTGCTGTGCCGCAGCAACAATCTCGGGCATGATGATGGCATGTGGAGTGGAAATGAGTTCACTGAGCTCAGTAGAAGAAACCTTAAGCACCGGATGTGATGATGAATGGGGAGGAGGGTCACGCCCATAATATTATCATCACAACCGCGAAGAGCAGAGACCTTGAGGAAACTTCGAAGAAAGAGGGAAAATACAAGAACACTGTTCTACAAAGTTCCTTTCAAGTTCGTCAAAGACCTCTTCGCAAAGGAAAAAAGTGGAACTTTGAAAACATCTAAGCAGGAACTAGAAGAACATCTAGAAAAGGTCCACCATGACAGGAGAAAGCATGAGCAGATAATCATCCCATATGACATCCCACCAGTTAAACCTCCAGCTGTCAACCTGGACACTGGCCCTCCAAAATGGAAAGAAGTAGAGAATACAGTCCGGCAAGCAAGAGCAGCATCTGCTCCTGGGCCTAATGGAGTACGATACAAGCTCTACAAGAATGCACCGGATGTCCTACACTTTCTTTGGAGGCTCATGAGGATAGTGTGGCAGAAACAACTTGGTTCAGTTCCCCATGAACTTCTCTGGGAATCTTTCAACTTTTTCCATGTACCAGAGCCCATCACCACACTGGTTAAAACCTATTTCCAAGACCTGCAACTGTGCTTCGCCACAGCTGACTTTACCACAACATGCCAGCGCTTGGAGGTAGGCATTATGGCAGGCTGCACAATCTCACCCTTGGCTTTTACAATGGCCATGGAAGTCATCATCAGAGCCTCAAAATGGGTGGTGGGCGGTGAACGAACAACGGCGGGGCTCCGTCTACCACCCATTCGCGCATATATGGACGATATGACAACACTGACCAATACTGCAGAATGCACCAAGCGGCTACTTGGAAAGCTACAGGAGAACATCAAGTGGGCCCGCATGAAAATCAATCCAACCAAGTCTCGAAGTATCTCTATTGTTAAGGGAATGCTTAAAGACACAAGGTTCTGTATTGGCGATGACCCAATACCAACAGTATCTGAGCAGCCTGTCAAAAGCCTGGGCAGATGGTACAATGCAAGCCTCAAGGACAAAGAGCAGGTGCAACAACTAAGGCAAGAAATTATCAACAACCTGGAGAACATCAACAAGACCGCACTGCCTGGAAAACTGAAGCTCTGGTGCCTACAATTTGGACTCCTCCCTCGGACAATGTGAGGTCCCGATAAGAACTGTGGAGAAGATGGAGCGAACCATCACCTCGTACGTGAAAAAGTGTCTTGGTGTCCCACGATGTCAAACTAATATCAGCCTCTATGGCAAAGGGGTCCTGGAACTACCTCTCACTAGTTTGACGGAAGAATACAAGTGTTCTAAAGTCAGACTGCAGATGACGCTGAGGGATTCCAGAGACAAGACTATCAGTAATGCTGCACTGCCCCTAGCAACTGGGCGGAAGTGGAAATCATCCAATGCTGTGCAGCAGGCAACATCAACCCTGAGGCACAAAAACATCGTGGGGCAAGCACGGAAGAGGAGGCCTCGGCCTGACGGCAAGTTAACCAACTTGGCGAAAGGCCACAACGTCAGAACGGAGAAAATTGGTGGTCGAGGAGGTGTGCCGACAGGAGGAGGTCGCAAGGCTGTCTCTCTCATGAAACAGGGACAATGGATGCGGTGGGAAGGTGTGGAGAGGAGAAAGATCAGCTGGAGGGAACTATGGGAAAAAATAGCTTTATCATCAGAGCTACTTATGACGCGCTTCCATCACCAAAGAATCTCCATCAGTGGTATGGCGAAGACCCAACCTGTGCCCTCTGCCCGACTCCAGCGACTCTCAAACACATCATGGTAAGCTGCAAGACCAGCCTCACGCAAGGCGGCACAACCAGGTCCTCAAAAGCCTGGCATCAGCGATTGACATCAAGCGGTGTGCGACCAACTCCTTGCCCCCGAGAGTAGCCAGTCCCCTGAAGGCAACAGCATTTGTCCGAGAAGGACAAAAAGCCCCCAAGCGAGAAACGGGACACTTAATCATGGCCCGCGACTGGAAGATGCTGGTAGACATCGGCCAACAATTGATCTTTCCTCCGGAGATTGCTTCCACCAACGTCAGGCCAGACCTGGTACACTGGTCCCCTTCACTGAAGACTGTGTACATCATAGAGCTCACAGTCCCATGGGAGAACGCGCTTGAAGAGGCCTATGAATGTAAGAAGCTACGCTATGCAGAGCTTGCAGCAGAAGCAAAGCAGCGCGGATGGAACACAAAAAACTGTCCAGTGGAAGTGGGATGCAGAGGATTTGTGGCTTCTTCGACCATCAGACTATTGAAAGAGCTGGGAAGCCACGGTCAGGCTCTGCGGCAGACCATAAAGGCAATCTCAGAGGCAGCTGAAAGAAGCAGCCAGTGGATTTGGATCAAGCGGAATGACCCATGCTGTGCTCCAAATATGTCAGCATAACCCACTTGAGAATCCCCACCTGTTAACCATTCAAGCGTCTACCATTCTCAATGTTGTCAATTTCGAGACAGTTGGGCACGGCACACAAGCTGAAGGCTGATCATCCTGCAGCTGGCCGCCCTTGGGGAGGGTGTATAGTGTTGAAAGGCCGAAACACTTTGACATGCTATACTGTGACTTTATTCGACATGCTATACCAGAGGTCCCCAACCTTTTTTGCACCACGGACCGGTTTCATGTAAGACAATATTTTCACGGACCGGCCTTCAAGGTGTGGCGGAAAAACATGACGAAATAAAATGATACGATCAGCA